TCATAAATTCTGGTCATATTTCATGAGCCTGGGCCCGCAGGCACTTTGTGACTTTCCAGAAATGTTAGTTTGCCCTTTTACTTAGAGTCTGCTTGCATGATCTGCACCTAGGTCATATATCATTTCTTGGGTGTCTCCTGGCACTGTGGTGATGAATTTAGAGACTCCCTATGAAGGTCAAAGGTGAGGGGGCCAGGCAAGTGCCAGGCAGCATACTTGTACTTCCCCTCATAATGTGGCAAAGCATTAACTGTTAGACTATGAAATCTTAGGCAACTTTAAAGGAAAGAAGTCATCTCTCTGTAAATACCAAATAAAGAGCCTGTCATATCACACATTCCATTTACTGGCACCGAGCGTGGCACATAACAAGTAAGTCAGCTAAGTATGAACAAAAGGACCTCTGCATTCCCCTTGAACTGGCCTGAGCCTGCAAGTCTGACAGTTCAGCATATCAGTTTGCAGCTGTGAGGGATAATCATCTCACCAAATTTAGACTATTGATCAGGTGTGGATATGTGCAGGAAATGTGGCCAGCTGTACAGTACGTCTCCCTGTGCATTCATTTTGCCCCAGAAAAGACTTTAAAAAACCAGGATACCTATGCTGTGTTTTGACTGTTTCAAATGAAGTGGGATTTTTGTTGCTTATAAACTAGTTGTTAGAAACAATACTGTGGGCAGCGTGAAACAGAGACAGTCAGTTTTCCTATAAAATGCCAAAGATGCAGGATGAGAAAAACAGAAATTTACTCCCCCCAACAATCCATTATTTTCATTCCTGTTCTGAAAATGTTTTTCAGACAGAGCTGGCAAAAGAATGTGTATTACTGCTTGTCATAAATAATGACAGGAAATCATTTCATTTCTGTCCTCTTTATTTTGATGAACTGTAAAAAGATTTTTTTCACTTTGTTTTACTGATTCTGAGTATTTCTCTCATTGTTTAAGTGTTACTAGCTGCCAGTTGTTTCATTTCATAGATGTTTATGAGAGAGAAAGACAGAGAGTGAGAGAGCGAGAGAGAGAGAAATAGAGTGTGTGGGTTTTGTGAGCATTCGCAGATGTGTGTACACAGGTGGGTGTGCCTGTCCTGTGAATCCACGCCTGCCTACAGAAATGGAGAATGTTGATGTTGACTGTCACAATCTCACACTTCCCTGACATTTTTACACCAGCACCGGAGGACAAGGCGTCTTTCTTTCCAACCACATTCACATCACGCACTCTGCTCTATAACTGCACACGGTTCATACATGTTTAAACTTTGCTACAATAATTTATGTCATGTTGCTCATACTAGACTCAATAATTCAGTCTGACACATTCCTGGTTGCAATTATGTGATGATATTCATTTTACAACACAGCAGTTTGAAGTCATTATCTTCTCCATAGATCACAGTCTATTTCCAAAGCTCAGACATTCCTCAGCTGAGAGCGAGGTGGCAAAGAAATGAAGGGTCAATCACATCACTGCGACACACTTTCGTCTCCTGCATGTCCTTATCAAACAGCATCTAATTTTGAATAATTCCGGCAAACAACTACAAATGGTAGTGTGTACAAATGGTGCATATTCCTCGGCCGTGCATTCACATGTACTTCATGTCAGGTTTGCCCAAATCTGCCAGTTCAATCGGGATGTGAGGGCAGGAGAAGACAGGTGGAGCTGTCAGGACAGTTGTCAGCTCCACGGGCGCAAAAGTAAAGATCAGTCACTTACATGCACATATACATATTTGTCTGACCAGTCATAGGAATAATAAAAAGTTATGCTTGTGCTGCACCATCAAAAACTCACAGAATAATCGCCACGAAAAGGATGTCCAGTATACTGGGTGTGTTTCTTGCTCCACATAAAGACAATACTGGGTCATTTTTAAATGGAAACAGATGGATACAGTAGCAGGAGATGGTAATAGGTTTGATTTACCTGTGCTCCACATTGATTGCTCCTCTAGTCTTCCTGTTGTTCTTGCTGAGCGAGTCCAGTCTCCAACCCAATACAGGCACACTGAGAAATAACAGTTTCCTCTGTGACCTCTCTCCCAGCATCAAACTGGCCAGAGCTCCTCAGGTGCGAGAAAAATGACCCGAACGATCCCCAACTGTTCTCATTGAGTCAACAAGATTCCAAGAGCTGCGTATGCGAACAACATAGTCTTACACCCACAGGAGCAATGCGAAGGACATGTGGAAATAGAGACCACAAACACATTGCTTCTATCACCTCCCCTCCACCTCTCTACATCCCATCTCGTCCCTCCCTCCTTAACACTCTCAGCCCTGTGTGAAAACAAAGCTTGGGCAGGAGATTCCAGCAGCTAATCGTGGCAAACCTTAATAAGTGAGGACAGTTGTGTCAGAGGAAGGAGAGAGCAGAGAGTTGAAGGCTGTAGCGGGGAGGCTAGGAAGGGAGGAAAGGGAGTCAAATGTCAATGAAGGCATGAGGAGTAAATGTGAGGTACAGTAACTGAGAGAAGAGAAACATCAACCTATGAAAAGGTGATTTGCAGTACAGCACATGGCACAAATTCTCAGACAGTTTTGAACTGTCTCCCATGAAGGACGATCCATTAGGAGAGGGAATGTAACAAAGCGAATTCTTAGACCTCTGTAAATAACTGCTATGGGCTTTTATTACTTAAGCTCTCTCAGCTACATGAAGGTTTTCACGGCACAAAACTTGAGAATGAAGGAGGGCAAACAGGTAAACCTCACACCTATGGCGCAGCAATGTTGAGAAGAGCAGTGAAGGTTAAGAAAAAAACAGCACACATTTTGAATGTATGGAAACATGCTGAGTGACAACAGTAACACACACGTGTAGAAATTCAGATGTAGATGTTATTCTGCAGTGTCTGCAGTAAGCAGCCACCCACTATACAGACCCACTTGGACCCACTGCAACATGTCATGAGATGTAGAGTGGACGTCCAGGTCACTCCAGGCCTGCAGCCCTTACATAGCATCACCTCTCACAGGGCTGCCAGCTATTAGAGTTAGATATACAGTACACGGAGTACAACAGTCATACATTCTCAGGTTTAAAAGCGGGCACACCGTGTGTCCGCACTCCCATAGAGACTCTGCAGGAAGAAAAGGTTAGAAGGGGAAAAGGACAGCTGTTTACAGTTGTAAGCACATTTTAGCACCAGAGGGCCTGAGGGTAGTGTTACAGGGCCACACGGCAGACCAGGACCGCCCCGCTCTCTCACAGTAATAAACACATCAGTAAAGTTCACACCACGAACCATTAAACTGGACAATTGTTGTTGTTTACTTTTATAATTCCCCAAATTTCTCTGCTGGAAATTGTGATTTTCAATTCTGAAAAACGTGTTTCACTCAGATACAAAAACAGTCTTTGTTGTCACTTCTACTTACACAAATCTGTGACTGAGTGACAAACATGTGACATGGCACATTTTTGAACATCAGAGTTGTTTCTGACAATAGGAAATAGCAGGGTAAAACAAATGAGGACGACACACACACTTAAACTCAACCTTTTCTGAAAGTCCATTTTATAATGAGACAGAACAATAGTGGTGAGGGAAATATCCTTCAGTAAACAGCATCCCTAAATTTCTCTCAGTTGCCAACAGGGGGAGGCAAGTTCCCCCATTTTGCCCAGTGTTACAAGATAACACATGATAGATGATGTCACTGTAATTTCATCTTTTCAATAAAACAATATATGTTGTATATATAAGTCAGGAGATCAGCTGTCCGTTCACAGCTGTGGATTACAGTGTCTTAAAGGACAGGTTCACATTTTTAAAACATGTCCAAATGTACATTGAAAGAGTTTCTGGCAGCCGTAGTTGTTTCTCCTGCCTATACAGGCCATGAATTCAAATCCATAGTCCTACTTCTGTCCAAAAGAATTTTCAAATGTTCATCTCAAGCAAATACCAGGCTTCAGCTGACTGAGTTAGACAAATTAAGTTGTTTTTTTTTTTTTTAAAGTTACTGTCTTTCAAGTGCAAAATGTCAGGAAACACTGAGAAGGGAAACAGGTACTAAAAAGAATAAATATTTTAATATTAGAAATAATTCCGGTGTAAAATGTACATGTGTCACAGAGGTCAGAGGATGTTAAATTAAACATCAGTTTTGGCTGCAGTGTCAGACTTTTCACCTTTTATTGCACAATTAATCCACAGCAAAGACACAGACAGGAAACAAAGGGAGAGAGAGAGAGAGAGAGGAAGTCTGACAGTCAACACAGATCCTGGACGGGAATCGAACTGTGCACGTGGTGAAGAGAGCACACTGGCATCTTGGCAAGGGGGCTTATTTACCCCACACTGGCCAATTAGAATGATGGCCTCACATTTCTACCCCACTAAGTACCCAGCTGCCACAAAACCACACAAACTTAGACACAGACCCAGTGCAAACCTTGTACTAACGTCTTTGTTGAGGTGACATAGAGATAGAATTTTCTCCATCTGTTGATAAAGAAAGGCTTGTAAGATCACGACTTGAGTTATGTAGACATGTCACACACAGATGAACAGCCTTTAGAAAGAAAGGCTCGTGTAATCAGCAGATTTGTTTGTTGCCTCATGTAAAATCATAATGTCTGCGTTGTATATTTTGAGCTCATCAGGTTAATAGCTTGAACAAACACACATGCCGCTTGTGTTTTTATTAGATGAAAAACATCGCGTAGCACCACAACAGACTGACTTGTAGCTGTCATGCATGTAGAATACACCAAACACGTTTAAAGTGTAAAGTGATATTTGCCAAAATAGAAAATATGGCTACAGCTCAGCCCTGCTGCACTTTGCCTGACTAGACCATTTGTAGATGGTGACCTCACGTTCCCCTCGCAGCCCCGCCCACCTTGAACCTGATCAGCCAGAACTGAAAACACCTGTGGAAAGTGTGCAGGGCAGTCTGGGCCGGCCACCAGTGTGTATATCCACGTCAACACTGACAGTGTGAATCAGAAATTCGTTGGGTTGAGCCTGTTTTTGCTGCAGTTATGGCCTGCATCGATGTATTGAGAACCAGGTTTCACTTTTATGACAAAATGTATAGTCATGATTTACGTGAACAAAGCTTTGCTGACTGGCCATTTAGAGAGGAATGTAACTGCACACCTGAGAAGGTAAGGAGGGCGCTGTATTTAATCAAGAGGAGAATTTGTCTGTGGGGAAGGTACTAAGGAAGTGAGACTGGGTTCATATGTGTGATGTTTCCTCTCATTTCTGACAGGATGTGTCACCTATCGCGCCCTTCAGATTACAGCCTTATTCACATTAACCTACGCAGCACATGACTATAGCTTATGAGAATAATTACATATTGATAATGTACCCCAACCGTGTTTATACAGCAATTTTATACCACAGCTTTTTATCCGAGGCTGTGACAAGTTGTGATTTACGGTTAAGCAGGTGCCAGATTCAGTTTCATTGCACCAGATATCCAGTGCACGGACCCTGCCATTAGCCCACCCTTGTCTCGTGATGATGGATGAGCTGCTGACACCTCACTTGATGAGCAACACTATATGCCATGTTACCAGCTCACACCACCCCCAAAAAAAGAGGGGGGATCATCCTCTGGGTTAATTCTCTCTCTTCCTTCAGCCCTAGCCTTTTGTTCTTTTATTGCACTTGTCATCTTATGTTATTGAGTTATCAGTGCACAAAAATTCCTTAATCTATTACTTGGATTTTATTTTATAGTTGTGTGTAAGAAGAGTGCGTCCGACACTGAGGCATCTGTTGCTGTTTGTTTGTGTTCGCAGATGGCCAGAGCTGGGTTTGTCCACTGCCCCAGTGAGAACGAGCCTGATGTTGCGTGCTGTTTCTTCTGTCTGATTGAGCTTGAGGGTTGGGAGCCGGATGATGACCCCTGGTAAGAAAAGACTGTCAACTTACACAGGCCCTTACCTTTTTATTTTATCTACCTTCATATAAGCTTTGAGTCACTGAACAGTATTATGCCAGTAGTGTAAGGGGGTACAGGAGCTTCAGATCTCAAATTCTTTTCATCTGTATTACTCAGACCTGACTGTTACCCATAGTCATTTGTAGGGCAAATGATGATATGGTGTCATCACCAATGAATGAATGGAAGGACAATGAAAAAGAAAGATGGCTGCCACAAATTCCCACTTGGGTGCAGCTGTTTCTTAATCAGTAAAATGCTTAATTAGAATCTATTTTATGTTTTTGCGTTTACAGAGGATTTTATGCTGATGTCAGCTGGTATTCATCTTTATGAGCCGCCTTCAATTGTTGTGTCTCAGACAGATTCTTCTATGTGTTCTCTGCCCAGGACTGAACACGTAAAACGCTCCCCTAACTGTGGATTCTTAACCATGAAGAAAGACTTCACCGAGCTAACTGTGGCTGAATTCTATCACATGGAGAGGGAGAGGCTAAAGGTCTACCTCGTAAGTGTCTATCTGTGCTGTCCGTGTAGATTGTGTGCAATGAAGTGAGGCTTAAATACCTGTGCAGTGTTTGTTCCGTGTTGTGCTTTTTCTTTGTAGAGAAAGGTTTGTCATAAGAAGATGGCATATCTGCGGGATGACATAGACCACACGCTTGAGAGCCTCAGATCTCGGTTGGACACCATATGACTGAAACTTTAATTATATTGCTACACTCATCTTCAAGGCGTCACAACAGCCTGTAGACTTGATTCATTAGGTTGATGTAATGGCAGTTTAAAATAATCAATAAAGTTGTGATGAACATTACACTTTGGTCGTAGTATTACCTTTAACCACAAGGTGGTGCTTTTGCACTAAAGCTACAGTTTCCCTGCGTCACAGACACATTTTGTGGAGTTCCCAATCTCTCACCCTTCACAAAGGCAATCTGAAATGAAAGCGCACATTCAGCAGGATTACAATGTGTGTTATATTCCCTCTTTACAACCAAATACTTACCATTTTCCTGAACGTGCCACCATCTCTACCACCCCTTTTCAAAACCTTGACCCTGGACAGATGGCCTGAAGCCCCTCCCTTTCAATACCAACTGTTGCCCCAGTAACATCTGTTACATATAGGGGAACTGAGAGGGCTCACCAGGACACTTGCCTTGCCCTGTGAGAGGAGGACTGAGGTTCAGGGAACGCTGAAGGATGCTGCAGCTGACAATGGAAAGTGCAGAAAAGGTGCTCATGCAGTAAACACTGCTAGAAAGCTCTGTCACACTCTGATGCTTCACTGCTCTTATTGAGCCTTTCAAGAACAGCAAAGGTTTAACATTAAAATTATAAGTTGGTGTAAAGTCTTGAGATCCACATGTCTTTTATGTAACAGAAGCAGGATGTTGGGCTGAGTTTGTGTGAGTCTCTCCTGGTGTGTGATGGGAGGGCCGGTCGGATGGAGTGCAGGATTAAAAGATGCTATCCCTTCTCCAACCTTCCACTGTTCTGGATTAATGTCTAATGTAACACTCTGGCCACTGAGCCCAGATCAGCTGCTTAATTCTCTTTTATCCGCTCGCTGTAGAGCAAATTGAAGAGGGAATATTTTTAGCCGAAAAAGTAAAATACCCATAGGTGATGTAACATTTCTAATGAAACTGTTATGCTGCAAATTTTCAGGACTTTCTTTTACCGAGCTCTTAAATCAATGCTGTTATGAAACACTCATATTTCTCTCTCATACAGTATTTTGCTCTAAAGACCAAAAGTATCCACTTTGTTGATGTGAAGAACATCAACTAAATGAACCAGATAAAAAAAAAAATTAAAAAAAAGTCCAGTTTGCTGATTTTCACATTTTAGTGGTGCAACATTTGCATAAGTGCACAGATCACATGGAGCATGTTTACAGTAATTGCTAATGTAACTGTAATCAGGGCTTATACCCACATAACACGTCAATCCACTTACATGTGTGTGCTCCAGAAAATGAACAAAGAGAATGGCATAGCGTGGTTTCTATCCCTGAGTAGCACAGATGTGATAAATGCACTTATCTGTGGGAATGGTGCAAAGCCGTTGATTCAATTGGCTCAACAACTGAGGTGGTGGGGATGGGGGGGGGCTTTCCTTCGTGTGTTTCCCCCACATTATATAAGTACCCCATCAAAATGTATTTAAAATGACTCATTAAGCTAATAGGAATCTGCATTTCACCGCTGCACATAGATTTGGTTCTTTCCTGATCTAATTAATATACTGTGACAAAGGGTTTGTACTGGTGGCCTCTACTGCAGTTTTTCTAATTGATGAGATTCTGCTAAACAAACTGAGTGTAGCAGATGGACAAACGGACAGATGTTACTAACAGAAAGTTTACAACCTGAGCTTTCCATCAGGCCCCATCTGTTGCTCCTGCGACCGGTACCTCCCTCTACCCTCCTCCAACGCTTCTCCTCCTCAGCATCTATCACCGAACCCTCTCCCCTGATGCTCCGTACACTGCATTGAATGACACCAGTATTTACCCTCTCGCCTGACCTGGTTTAACCTCTAAAAAAACAAAAGGCTAAATGAACAGCAAATTATCACTTTGCTCATGCTTTAAACATCCTACATCCCTTAGCTGTGCTGTCTCGTTCCACTCTGAAAAGTACTGTACAAAGCCAGATGAATAAAGGCTGGCATGTACACAGGCCAGATGATGGAGACCGCACAGTGGTCCTGAACCAAACGCGTGAATGCGCCTTGATCACGCTGAATTTACAAACAGATTACGAGAGCAAAGCGACACTCTTCCTTGCATTATAATTAGTAAGGAACTACAATCCCTTTTCAGGTTTTCTTCTCCCTCCTCCGCCTCTAATGTTCTCCCACGTCTCTGGCACTGCTGACTGCTTGCTCTCTCTCTCTCTCTCTCTCTCTCTCAGACACCACAGCCCTCCTACCTTGGCTGTGTTTTTTTTGTGCCCCTCTTCCAAAGGGACCTCCATCTGTCCCTACACTCAGCCTATAGTGGTGTCCCGAAAGCCCAGCAACTTTCACAATGCAGTGGGCGTGCAGAGGGGGGGCCAGAGTAAACACGACAGCATCCAGATCCCATTAGAAGCTCTTTAACTCCTACACCCTAATACTCTCGGAGAACTCTGGGAGGAGAAGGCCCACCCCTTATCCTCATGCACACAATGTCACCTTTTACACCCACACCCATAGGTAATGAGTCTGCGAGCTGCCCCCCCCCCCTCCCATTTTTTTCTTTTTCTCTTACCAGAGTAGAACAAGCTGTTATTTTATATCATTGTATTTATAATTTTTTCTCTTACAATAGTGACACGATTATTTGAATGTTATTTAATCTTTACAGGGGGCAGGGCAGTGATGTTTTTATTAAGAGATGTTCACATAGAAAACCATCCTTGAATATTTATCACTTAAAGCTGGAATTAATTTTTTTCTTGTCTCACCAGAGTTCAGTTTATAAATGATAAGTTTAGTCTGATGTGATGTGGTAGTAGACAGATGCAGGGTCAATAAAAGGTAACAACGTTTTATTTATTTATAACGAATTGCTCTCACCATATTGACCATGACCAACTGAATCCTCATCATTGTAATTCTCTGCCCTCCTCCAGTCCCCTACATCTTCTCATAATGCCAGCCTTGCCATCTTTCATTGTTTCCCTCGGTCTTCGCCCACATCTCTTTCTCCATCAGTCTTGGTCTTTCTTCTACCAGCTGCTCCTCTAAGTCTAGGGCGTCTCTGTTTCGGGGTGCTCCACCTCTCAACCTGGGCACTCATATCCCTATGTTCCCCACAGAGACGTGTATGTGTGTGTGTGCGTGTGTGAGTGTACATGTGTGTGCATGCGCACTGAGGCCCAAGGGGTGGGGTGGGGTGAGGGGGGGGGATCACTGTGTTCACCCCAGCTTAAAGGCAGAGGGATTACCGGCACACAGACACTGATTAAAGCCTTCCAGCCTCCTATGGCCCCATTAATACAATCTTAATCACAATGCTTTATCCCCCCATCTAGCTCCTATGGATCAGGACCTTTTCATTTTGGTGGGAGCCACTCTTGTTTGGCCAGTGGATTAAGAGGGCTGCACACAGAAACTAAAATATAAGCACACGAGAGAAAGAGAGGGTGAAAGAGAGAGTTAGCCTTATACTGTACTTAAAAAATTCTGTTAGCTCAGATTTTGTTTAGGTTTTTTTTCTGTTCTCTGTGATGTCAGCTTCCGCCGAAGTGAATTTGCCTCAAAGTTAGCATGACATGTCGTAGTCAGGGCTCATACTGTTGATGTCTATAATGTATATTAAAATAAAAACCATAAAAACCACAAAAGTTTGGGAGTCAAGAGTTGGAGTGCAGCTACATTAATTCTCTGTGGGCTGATATCTGACATGACCTCACTCTCTCAGGGGACTGAGCTACAGGTCGCGCTCTGCTGGCTGCAGCCTCGGCCAAGATGGCATTACAGAGCATGTGTTCCCCTCCATTTAAGAGACCCTCATGTCCTTATCGTAGGTAAGGGCCACTTGATATGCTCAATCTGTGTTTACTGCCCGCATTAAAAAGTACTGTGAGGCCAGGATTAGTTGCAGCACACTGAAGTAATTTACACAGTGAGTTCTTTTTAAAAAAAAAAAACATTTTTAATGTGACAAAATTTCTTGTGTGCACCGATGAAATATAGATTGAATACAAAAGACTAAACCTAAAATCTCATAAAATATAGAAAAGCTTCATATCTTTTATCTTCCTAAACCGTTCCATGTAACCACCATCAAACTATGTCTCCATTACCATTCCCCAATCTGTCCTGCATCTCTGTGTTTTGTAATCTTGTATCCAAAGTTAATTTACGTGGATTATTTCTATATCCACCCACTCATGTAGTTGGACTCAGGAGGATAATCCACATACCCTGCACCCCCCCACCCCCACCTTTTTTGCCGTAACAAAAACGGCAAAGACACAAAGAGGGTGTGCGCCAGCTAACTCTGCCAGTACTTTCTCACAGGCCAAATGTCTGCCTGTGTGTAAAGCTATGCGTCACTCTTATGCCAAGGCTGACACACAAGAGCAGAGAGGACAAACTTGTGAATGAGGAGCAAGGACCTCAGTCACCTCTTCTGCCCTTTCCTTCTCTTTCCTCTTCTTCTTTCCCCCCCCCCCGCAGCACACTGATTCCCCTTTCCCTCTCTCTCATCCCTCTCTCTCATGCTCTCACTCTCTTCTCTCTCTCTCTCTCTCTCTCTCTCTCTCCGCAAATTGGCCCAGCTGTCCATCAGCCCCCCCGCAGTTCCCCCAGCTGTCTGCCCTCCCCGAACGAGAAACCCCACAACAATACAGGTCACAGGTCAAGAGAAAGAACAGGCTGCGCTCACAATGGACCAGTGGCGCCCAGTAAAACAATCGTTCCCTTTTTCTCCTCCAGCCTTTCCCCACTGTTGCCAGGACTGGAAAAGGCAAACCTTTGGAGAGGTAGCTGAAGAGGGGGGAAAGCCCTCTTGGCCGGCAGCCTCCCAGGCACCTTCCCCTCCATACAATTGCCTAAAGGACCACAATGATAAACGCATTCGTACACACCGGCGCTTGCTCTCACCACTCCATCTTTCCACTCTGCCACCCTATTCTTTGTTTATTTCAAGAGCCATCATGTCCTTCAACACAATCATTAAAGTCAAAACTGAGACTT